TGATCTGCAAAGAATAAGCTTTGGCAAAAAAGAATATTCATGAGATATTCTCCTTTTTCCGCAAGTAAAAGGATTTGAAAATCTTCCGTAATTATAAGGACGCAATCTTTGTTTGACAACAGTTTTATTTTCTAATTCTATTTTGCTTCATAATTATATGATGCCTGATAATACTTTATCTTTGAAATTTTTTGGAGACAATTTATGTTTTTATTTTAAGATGTATATTAGTTATGTAATACGAAAAATGATAAATATACAATTTTCTTTTAGACTTTTTGTTAATTAAATTAAGAGTAAGGAGCTATACGATTAAATATTAAGTTTTTTTAGATGTTTTGACCAATTTTTTTTATAGTTTCAATATACGTTGAAAAACAAAATATAGTATAATACAAGAAAAGTTACAAGCTTTCATAGAAAACTATTTATAAAAAATATAAATTATAAGTACAGGATTTAATTTTATAAAAGTATTATGTTCAAGAAAATATTATAAAACATATGCCCTCGTTTCTGTACCCATCACTATTGATTAGTATTGTTAATCTTTTTTAACCGACAATTGGTATTGTTAATCTTATGGAACTTATAGTAACTTGAAAAATAATAGTGGATATTATAAGGAGATACAGCATTATGTTCATTAACATTGAGATTTATCACTAACCAATGGTTTAAAAAATGGTTTCAATAACAAAAGGACATTGTCAAACCAAAGCAATTTGTGTCTCTCATATTCTTTGTTAGTTTCACATAATTTTTTGAAAAAAATGATTTATAAAATATGATTATTATTTTTAGGATAATCGTCAATCTAAACAAAATATTAGTAACAATCAAACGAGGAATAATCTCGCGTACTCCTTCCGCATTAAAGAAATTCTCAAATCTCCTCTTCATAATATTTAATTTGTTTTCGATTTATTTTAAAGCAAGAAAAATAGAGAAAAGCGGTCAAATACTTGGAGGTCCTTACTAAAGTTTCATATTTACTAACCCAACCACGAAGATCCACATCCAGTCTGTCATATCGGGTTGAATCCGAAGAAATCGGGTTTTCGGTCAAAATTGTGGTAAGTCAAACCCTAAGTTTTTTTTAAAAAAAAATTCAAATTTCGAAATCGTCCTCTCGTCGTCGTCTTCGTCTAGTATTCTCTGGGACAACTACGAGTGATTTGCTGCTGCCTGTCTTGAATCAACGCCTCGCTAAATCAGGTTCGTTCGTCTTTGTCATCTGATTTCTAATTTCTATCTAGATTACTTTGTAGATTTGAACTCGGTTTTGTGTAGAATCCAAAATTCGATTTATATGTTCTCTATTTGGTTGGTAATTACAAAATAGGAGTCATGGATTTAGCCAACGAAAGAGTCTTTGGATATGCTAGACCAGAACTATACTCAGATTCCGAATCGTCGCAGGAGAAAATGGTAGAATGAGTTGCCGAATCAGAGACGGGTAATAATCAGATAGTGTTGTGGAGGGGAACTGAGGCTGAGGCTTAGGAGGAGGAGAACCAGCCATTGCCACCCGTGAGAATGTTCTTCAAGCCTAGTCAGTATCATAATGCAATAAAGCTGAGAACAAGATGTTATATCCACAAAGCTGTTGCGAAATTGGAGTCCCTAGACCTTGAACCTCATGAGCTGTTATATTTTACAGAACACCCACAGTTCAAGAAATTTTGGCATATGCATAGGGCCATGCATGAGGACACAACACACAAGATGATGGGAATGTGGTTGCTTCTTCTTTGGACAGCAAACACAAATAAGAAGAGGGAAGCTTGGTTTGTAGTGAATGGCGTACCAATTCGCTATTCCCTTATAGAGCATGCCATTTTGTGTGGATTAAACTGTCTCCCGTACCCAGAGTACTATGAGAGCATATTGTTCTTCGTTTAAGAATATGTATTTTCAGGAAACCGTCCCCTCCCTTGCTGCTGTTGAGAAAAAGCTAGAGTCGATGCGAGGGCTAGTTAATCCTGATCGGTTGAAGATGTGTGTCGTCTACTTCTTATCCTCTATAATTAGTGGGAAAACGAAAACCGGTAAAGGAGCACCATCTGTTGACCCCTTATTCCTGAGGATTGTGGATGATCTCGAAGCTTGTAAAAAGTTTCCTTGGGGTAGGTATTCATTCGATGTAAATATGAAGGAGAATGAGCACACAATGAGGCATTTCAATGGGGTTGTCGAAACAGATGCCTGAACATTTCCAAGCTTTGTTACTCCCTAGGAGGTATGTCACATTATAAAGAATTTGTAACTATGTAATACTATGAGCGTAAGTGTAATTTGTTGGGTTTATGTGTAGTTGCTAGCCTTTGAGGCCATCCCATGTCTGAAGAACAAATACAGAGAAGATGTTAGAGGAGCAGAGAGGGATTGTCCCCGGATGTGCAGGAAGAAGTTCCAATCATTCACCCTTAAAGGTTTTCCTTTGTGGAACTCTATGAAACACTGGGTAACACTAAGGTCATCGAGAGTATATTGCAACCATCCGAGGATGAGGTAATTATGCTTGCTGGAGTCATGGAGAGGAAGATATCGGTGATATCGTTCCTGAAAATTGGACGAGGAGTTTAGTTGAGGAAAAGAAGCCGATATTCTGGAAAGAGATATGCAAGATCGATGTTGATGGCCGAGATAATAAGGAGTGGGTAAACCATCCTGCAGCGGCTAAGAATAATGTGGGGACGGAGAAGGTGGCGCCTCTTGGATTGGTGGAACAGCTTCAGAGCTTGCAGACGAGTATGGACGCTCAGTTTCTCCGAATAAGTGACCGAATGGATGGCTTTGATACAATACTCTGCTCTGTAGAACAATATGTAAAAGAGACAAGAAGAGAAAGGGAAGGACCAGGAGATGAGGGAGGAGAATTTTTTCGAAATGATGTAGAACATGAACATGAATGAGGTGGAGAGAAACTTGAAAGTTTGGTGACAACGGAGAAAGCAGCCGAAGAAGAAACAGCCAAAGCAGAAGCCGAGGAAGAAGCAGAAGGAGCCGGAGCAGAAGGAAGCAGAGCAGAAGGAGGCCGAGCAGAAGGAGGCCGAGCAGAAGGATGCGGAGCAGAAGGATGCGGAGCAGAAGGACGCGGAGCAGAAGGAGGCGGAGCAGAAGGAGGCGGAGCAGAAAGAGCCAGAGATGAGTGAGGCAGAGCTGAAAGAGGCGAAGCAGCTTGTAGCTCGATCTCCGTACCTGCTTAGAAGTAAAGAGGTATTGAAGTTTGAAGAGTAATATCCATTGTTTTGGTAATACTTAATATTTCATGGTAACACTATGTTGTATTACTTGGTATGTGTAGGTAGAACCAGACGGTGCTGACATTGTGAACGCAGAAGTGGGTGCAAGTAAACGGAAACAAGAGCGATCGAAGTTAGGGCCAAACACAAGGCAGAGACGTTAAGTCTCCTATGACATTTGATATATGTATTTTTATTTGGAATAAACTGTATTAGAGTGTGTACTTCTATTTTTATTATTGATTTTGGATTATTGAAAACCAAATATTGGGAAAACTTGGTATTATTGGTGAAACCACATATAAATGGTATAACCTAGTTTTATTAGGTGTAACCATCTTAGTATTATTTGGTATAACCACTTATATATGTGGAATACTAGGCCTAAACAGTTCGAGTTAAAATTATTAGCATAATGTTTGTACACAATATAAGGGAGTACAAAACATTACGAATTGTGCACATATGGAATCCAGAACATAAGGAAGTACAAAAGAAAACATAAGACAGAAAACATCAGACACATTCACCAGTTGACCATATCAGGAAAAACCCTAACTACCCGGTGCACATATAGGAAGAACCTTCTGCATTCGCGAGTTAAGAAGCAGTAGTCGCAGATGTTCCCTGGTTTATACTCATCATTCCACCAACGCTCTCATCGGTTAACTGTACCGCACGAACAGTGGATAATAGTATTGAGGCGCGGTAAAAAGTGACGGTGGCTTTCATCGAACATCTCTGGCAACTCCATTGGCCAACGAAGATATACTTCTTCAACAAGGTCACGGGTTTACTTCCTTATTGTTTCCCGGCTTAGTTTGATGAGATACTCATCACCCTCAGGATGTTCCATAACAAGTTTCATGAACATCCCGTAGACATATACTGCACGCGTGTACCCTCTATCCACCGCATCCTTGATCAGTAGAATCCCTCCAAAATCTTGTCGATGAAAAAAAAGTTACATACCTCGCATGAAAAGCATGCCTGAATTTCGTGCATCATAGAACTCTCTAAAGACATCAATGATGAGATGGACATCTTGATCCACTGGATGAACCATATTAAAGGAATCAACTTCAGCGTAGAAGCCATGGCCTCTGGTGCAGTCGTTAAACCTATGACAAATCGAGCGAATCCATAGTAGGTCACCAATGGTGTTAGCCGACTTTGCTAGAACTTTTTCTAGTAGTTCGTCTGGTAGGGCTAGTAGGTAGGAGTACTCTGCCATGGATTTATATATGAAAGTGGTCGAGGCCGAGTTTTGTGAAAAGTTCTGAAACCCTAAGAGAAAATGATGGATTTTTTAATATAAAATGAAAATTTGAACCCTAAAAGAGAGGAGGAAGGAAAAAGTGATGGATTTGGGAAAGTAATGAAGAAGTAGAATGGATTTCAGAATTTCTTTGCGAACTTAAATAATAGAAAATGGAGGAAGTGAGTAGTCACGTCGAATAAACACGACCGTATGAGAGAGAGAGGAATAACTGCTACTCTCATTAATGCGTTATTGAAAATACTATGATTTTTACTCATATACTGTGATATTCGAACATTATGTCTGGATTACTAAAATGTTGGCATGTTATATATCATCAAGTTATCGTCAATTTTTCTGATGAAAATTTTCAACCAACCATAAATAATTTCTCCAAAGATAAGTTATCAAAAGTCATAAAATTAAACATCAAGGTTCTTAGGAAAAAAAAAGAGATTACATATATGAATTGTTCATAAAAAAAAGAGGCTTCATGTGAATTTCGATGACATTCCAGACCTCTTCCTCTTTATCTTCTTCATCTCTCCCTTCGAATAGAAACGTAGAAAATCTCATTTATGTTTAAAAAGTCATATAGCCTAAATTTGTATTCAATATTATTACTTAATCATGAGTTATGTCTACAATTAAAATTTAAAAAACCAAACAACATTAACTGATTATAATCCAGTCATATAGATTTCAACTTATTTTAGATTTATTATAACCAAAAAAATGACTAATTACTTACCCATTCGGATGTGTCCATGTTTCGAATTTCTCTCTCCACGAATCCGCAATGCATGCACTTCAATCCTATCTCCAGATCCAGAATCAATTCATGTTCCGGTTTTGTACAACGTGTGTGGGGAGTTTTATCGACTGAGATGTCTTTGTCCTTCTCCTCAAGAAAAAAAAATATATAAATTTTCACTCATGATCAAGGACATATTTTATAAACCATAAACAGAGAGTATATATTACTTTTGGAAGATTTTGCTTGACTTGATCATTTGATTTGCTGAGGAGATGAAATTGTTCCCACAGCTCTGCTTGCTCGATTTCAGAATCGGTTGGCGAAGGTGGTGACTTAGGTTCCACCACACCAAATCTCATTATCAAAGGTGGTGGCTTGATGATTAGCAGACCATTCTCATCATATTTTTTTCCATCTGATCTCTCCATTTTGTTTATGTATTGTTAGAAACGATGAGACTACTTGAAGAATTATAGAAGTACAATATCTCTGTAAAACGAGGAAAGAGGGAACGAAGCGTTTATTTATCTCTGTAAAAGTGAATAAATAAATATATAATAATAACTGTCTAAAAGATAATCACACCACGTGTTTAATCTTTGCATTAGTGTTGGTAGTTGCAGTAATCGTACTGCTGTTACTGCCGTAAGACTGGTACAACTACTAACACTGTATTTGATATTTACCAATACATTAAGTAAATAAATATTTTTGGGTTTATTACGAGAGAGAAAGATGTGACTTTTAATTTCTCCGCACGATAAGGCTGAACTGTTGAAGGGTATTTATTATATGAGTCGCACCCTAGGGTTTTCCTTTCTCTTTCTATAAATATAACTCGCTCTCTCTCACTCATATCTATCTTCTAAATCCTTTTCTCTCTATTTAGTGCTATCGTTGCTCTCTTTATCACTTCAAAATGGCCCCTAAGGCGTGGATCATGACTCATCTGAGAGAGTTTCTGCGGTTTCCGGCGAGTGGGTTCAGTGCAGGGCCAATGGCGGTAGACATTTACGAATGGCAAACAACACTGTTGCCCCCCCCCTAGTAGTCCATACGAAGGGGGCATCTTCTTCATCTTTATCCGTTTCCCACCAGAGTACCTCTTCAGGCGACCAATGGTGTCATGGAAGACGCCGATTCTGCACCCCAACATCGACAAACCCCGCGTCTTCCATCCGCTACTCGTCACCGCTACCTAGAAGGTTGGAACGACGGTGAAAGAACACCTCCAAGCTCTCCATGACATGCTGCTTCACCCTAAGGTGGAGGAAGAGGACAACTACCTCGCAGACGTCGCACGCATGTGCGTCATGGAACTGGAGAGGTTCAAGAAGGAGGCCCGCCTGATGACCGACGCACACGCCATGAATTAATTCATGGCGTTTTCACAATAAAATAATAAATTTTATATTTTACTATTTTCCATTGTAAAATATTTTATTATTTAAAAATTATGTCTGTAATATATTTATTTATTATTAAAATTCCTTGTGTTATTTTATCTACTATATTATCTCAGTTGATACATAAGGAATTCTTAATAAGGAAACTCTAATCAGGACTATCGGGTATAACAGTTTTCAACTCCCTGAAAAACCAGCCATAACTATCATTTTTTTCTGCATCAATTACTTCAAAAGAAATCGGATAATGGTGACGAATACCATCCTGACAAGCAACAAAGACTAGCTGACAACCCATTCCGGTTTTCAAAAAAGTTGCATCAACATTTATCACTTTCCTCATTGCTACAAACCCGTCAATGCAAGCTCCCAAAGTGACAAATAAGAACTTGAATCTTCGTTATCCGTCTAGTAACACATTGTGTTTTGTACCTGGATTCACCTGCTCTAGCATGTAAAATTACGAGTACAGATCTCTATAGCTGTCTTCAGGATAACCAAAAATCAGAGATTTAGCTTTCTGTATTCCTCTCCATGCGGTAGAGTATGACACACTCACATAAGCATTATTTTTAACCATAACCATGACATCGTGAGGAGTTGATATATCATGGTTTTTATGGTTTTTAACCATGGTATATGTCTTATTTATAGAGTCTTTTTAGTGTCTTTCGAGTCTTTTGGAGTCTTTTCAGGTCATAGGTACGTCTGGAGCTTAACTGGAGACTTTGGAGCACTTTGGAGCTTAATCAGGATCAAATTCGTCAAGTATGGATTTTGTGCTTTAGTGACGCTCGACACCATGGAGAGTGACGCGCGACACTTGTCAGAGAAATAAGGAAAAGGCGATTTTGTTTCCTATTTGAAGAAGGAGTTGGGCCCAAACGTTTTCAATGAAGCCCAAGACGTGTTTTAGAGATATATATAGGATTTTTATTCCCTTTTTACGCACACTTTAGATTTTAGAGAGAGAGATACTCTGAGTTTTCGGCTTTTGCGATTTCTGAGCTTGGGGAGACAAGTCTGTACTCTGTTCGTTTAGAGAGAAGATTTCGAACCCCTTTATCTATTTCGATTTATTCTATTGCTTTCTATTCATCATGTTTGTTGTTTCAATAACCATGTCTGAGTAGAACACCTGTTAGGTTTAGGGTTAATTAGGGTTTTCTCTGAATGATCAATTAACTTGCTAGTTAGGGTTCATATCTATTTGTTCTTCATCTTAGGTTGTTCTTAAAGCTAATTCTAGACTGATCACCTAGAACTTAGATCTTAGGTTGCTTAATTGACACGGAAGTGTAATTGAATAACTGGAAAGAACCTGAGTTGAGCAAAGTAACTATTCGCAAAGGAATTTGGATTAGGAGCTTTGTGAACATATCGAACTTGTGCATTAAGGCTGGTTTAAATCTGTAGGATTTACAAAGGAATTTGGAATTCTAGGATTTTAACTTAGATAATTCTCACAACGGAAGTTGGTTAATTATGGTTCTGTGTTTCGAGTTCAAGAACCGTGCTTAATAACTGAATCCTGACTTGTTAAGTTGATTTGCATTCATTGATCTCCTGAAAATCACCCTAGACCTAATCCTTATCACATCGAATTTACAAACCGTTTTCTTTGCTGCTTTATTTATTTCTCTTGCATTGTTATTTGTTCTGCATATTTCGACTTAGCGTAACTCCATCTACATAAGGTTTATTGAGTGACTTCTTGTCTCTGTGGTTCGACCCCTAGATACTACAATTGCACATCTGTGCTCTTGCAGAGTAGCTTAGAGATTTAACTTTGAGCATATCAAGTTTTGGCGCCATTGCCGGGGACTTGATTTCGCCATTAAACCTAGTCTTTGAGTTTCGACTAAGTTTTTCGACTTAGTGTCGAGCGATACCACTTGTGGTGTCGCGCGACACCTTCTTTTCTTTAACCTAGTTTACCTTTTTTCGTTTTCTCTTTTTGTTTTTGGTGTTTCAGGTTTATGCATACTCGTGGAACCAGGAGCAACAAGGACATCCCGCTAGTGAATTTGAGCAACGAACAGCTAGCTGAGTTAGAGCGAACGAAGCGGAAAGCAAGAGATCCGGCAATGATGGAAAACGCCAATGGACTTGTTCGTGATGATGATGGAACCTGGAGAGACCGAGAGGGTCATCTGTGCAATGCGAGAGGCCAAAGGATTGATGGAGATGGTAACATCATTCCACCAGCTCCTTTACCAGTGGATGTTGTTGACCAGAATCCACCACCTGCACCGCGTGGGAATGCTGCGATCGTTCCACAACAGAGGAACGTTCCAGAGGATCGGAATGCGAGGGAACCTGCACCTGCAGTTGGACGTGGACGAACACTTGGAGACTACAACAGGCCTGAGCAGTTCTATGCAAATCGTTCTGCGATTCGCGCTCCTGCGTTTCAAAGAAACGATTTTGAGCTGAAGCCTGTGTACTACACTCTTGTGGGTCAGCACCCATTCCATGGCCACTCTCATGAGCACCCTATGGATCACATCGAGAGGTTTGAGGATTTGGTCACCAGCATCAAATACAATGGAGTGTCCAATGATTTCCTCCTCTGCAAGCTGTTTCCTTACTCTCTTGCTGGAGATGCAGCTAACTGGTTGAAGCAATTGGAGCCAGGATCACTCACCACTTGGGAAGAGACCAGGAATGCCTTCCTGCACAACTTCTTCGACGATGCTAGGTCTGAGGAGTTGAGGACTAAGATTTCGACTTTCTCTCAAGAACCTACTGAAGCGTTCAAAGCTTCTTGGGTGCGATTCAAATCGTACCAGCGAGACTGCCCTCATCATGGCTTCAGCGATGTGCAGTTGCTGGGTATATTCTTCAGAGGCATCGACTGGAGGTATCAGATGGCGCTTGATGCAGCAAGCAATGGCAACTTCAACACTCGATACCCAGAAGAAGCTTGAGCTCATCGAAAACTTGGCATCCAGCAACAGCACCAAAAATGCTGATCTTGAGCGAAAGAAGCAAGCTAGGAACTTGGATAGATCGCAGATCGCTGAAGTGAAGGCTAAACTTGATTCTGTGCATAGCCTTTTAGTGGGTAAGAAATCTGTCAGATACACTGCAGGAGTTCAGAATTTCGGACCAGATGAAGCTTTTGAGGAAGAGGATGTTAACTTCATCAGTGGATCAGGATTTCAGGGTCAGAGGTTTGGTAATCAGCAAGGTAACAGAAGCTACAGTGGAAATTACAGTGGAAACAATCAGAGGAATACCTTCAACAGTAATCAGAACTTCTCTGGTTACACGCCTAAGCCTCAGTACCAGAAACCTTTCTCCAACAACAGTTTTTCCAGAAACTACAGCATTCCTTCATCTCAACCTCAAAATCCTGACAATGAGATGAAGTCTATGCTGGAACAGATTCTGGAAGGTCAGCAGAAGCTCACCGTGGACTTTAATGGGAAGATGGATGCTCTCTACCTCGATCTGAATGGAAAAATCGAAGCTCTGAACACCCATGTCAAGCAGCTCGATACACAGGTAGCCTAAACTGCAGGTTCTGTTAAAAGGCAAGAGGGTTTTCTTCCTGGGAAGACTGACACCAATCCAAGGCATCACTGCAGTGCTATCACGTTGAGGAGTGGTAAAAATCTGAGTTCTGAGCCCAAGAAGACGCCTCCTGCACCCGAAGTCGTGGACTTAGAAGGTTCTGAAGCAGTTCCTGAGATTGCAGAGCCGGTGACGAGCGACACCACCACTAGTGTCGCGCGTCACCAATTGCAGAGCGAAGCTGTTGATGCTCCGAATCCGAAATCTGCAGAGGAAAAAGTCTACAAACCTAAAGTTCCTTACCCAAGGAGCCCTAAGAAGTCCAAGCAAGAGCTTGATGATGCACGATGCAAAGCTCTGATGGAAAAGCTTGTGATTGAGATACCTTTGGTTGATGCTGTAAAAATCACTCCTGTCATCAGACGTTATGTGAAGCGAATGGTAACCAATAATCTCAGCCATGAACAAGGGGTGATGATGATATCTGAGCAAGTCAGTGCAGTGATTCAGAACCGAATTCCAGAGAAGCTGTCTGATCCAGGAAGCTTTGTCTTGGATTGCTCTATCTTCACAGAGAGATTCAAGAGATCGCT